GAGGAGGAGGAGGAGGAGGAGGAGGAGGAGGAGGAGGAGGAGGAGGACAATGACAATGACAAGGAGGGGAAGGGAGCAAGGAGAAGGAAGAACACAGGAGAGGCGGAGACAGGTGAGGGGGACAGCTACAGGTGGCAGCTAAGAGCGCAAGCCTGTACAGGCTGAGCAGTTCTAATCCACAAATGTAAAACCCAGAATGCTCTGAACACACCGCCTCTCTTGCTGTGCTACTTCAGGTTTTGGTATCAGGTGTGTTCAGCAAGCTTTCAGAAGGTGCTGGGACCCTCAGCTGTACCCTTGAGTCACTCTATAACCTCAGAGTTATAATGAGTTCTTAACATCCCTCAATTGGAATTATGGCTAGTAAACTCTATCAGATTATCATGAAGACTACATAAGGCAATGTGTTTGGCAAGTAGCAGGTATTTAATTTAACAACACCAAAGCCATCGAATACACACTTAACAGTGTTTATACTTACAGTGAGCCAAACCTTCGGTGTGGGGAAATCACCTATACTGCTTCAGGCTTACTTATTATCAAAGAAGGGAAAAGTGAAACAGAACAGAAGGCAAGATTTGGTTTATGTTAGGACAATAGCATACTTAGAATACCAAGTCTGATTCAATTATTTCATAGAGAAGGGAACCCAGGGCCAGGGATGCTCTTAGAAGAGAATATCTAGAACAGAATCCTAGCCTCCATTCCACTGACAGAAGGCAGCAGATGCAGAGAGACAGGGCACTGAGGAGCCAGGTTGCCCTTGGGGAGGGGTTCTGCATTCCAAATTGGTCTTGTCTACCACCTCTAAACACAGCCTACAACCCTAGACCCTCCAGAGGGGTGTGACTCCTGTTTACTCACACTCCATTGCTGTACCCACTGGCCCTTCATGAGAAGGGAATCCACAGGCCTTTGATTTCTGAGATTGCCACTCAGAGTCAAGAGAGCCATAAGCAAGCAGACAGCCAGGCAGGAAGCCCTGGATTAGAGTTAATCCCCTTGCTTCACAGGCACTCCTCTGAAAGAGGCTATGGGTCCCCTGGAGATGAGGCAGAGCCAGCTTCAAGGAGCTCACCAGGCCTTTATCTGCTCAGGGAATCTCAGCTTAGAGAACATTATCTTTGCGTGTTTTTTTCTCTGATAGGCACTGCACCAATCAGATCCATGGTGGTTCTGACAAACCGTCAGAAGAGCCTGGGGACTGGTGTCATCCGGGCTTCTTAACGCACCCCCTGAACCCGAAATCAACCTAATTAAGCAGGGTTATCATTATTTTTTTCCTGAGTGGCAATCAAACCTTAATTAATACCCTGTTAAAATGAACTCCTAGGGGAGCATAAACATGCACACCCCAAATGAGTTCCTCTGCCAAGGGTGTTACCACACAAGCTGCTAAGTGGGCCTCCTTCCTGTCCACTTAGTCAGTCTCAAGAGTGCCCCCTGGTAATCAGCAGTGGAAAGCAATCACAGGTTCGCCACCACCTCCTCCTAGGGCACCTCTGCCCTGCCAAGTACTTTACAGGACCCCCTTTCTCTCTCCCCCCACCCCCCGCCTCCTTTCTCCACGTGGTGAACGGCCCTGTCTTGGGTTTACCCAGCTGATGTGAAGGGCATCTCTGTCAGGCTTCCTCTTCTGCCCACCATCTCTCTTCCGGACAGTTTTCGTGCCCACCTCTCTGCCCCCTGAACCACAGGCCCTACTGGAGAAGACTTCAGTGTTTTAAACACTCAGTGAAACCATGCTGGGGAGGTGGCTCAGTGGCTGGGAGGACTTGCTTCCAAGCCCGATTACCTGAGTTAGAGTCCCAGGACCCACGTGGTGGAAAAAAAGAGCCAACTCTCACAGGCTGTCCCCCCCACCCCCCATTTATGCAATGGCACGCTTAGTATCGCATTCCCCCCCCAAAAAATGTAATAAATATTGTATTTTAAACAATCTGTGATGTCAGAACAGAACACACGTGCAAAGTCTGAATGCTCCTTGCTAGCAGCAAAAACACCTGATGGAAGTTTTGAGACTAATTCCTGACAGGAAGAAGCAACCAAGAGAATCAGGGCAGGCAGTGGCGCATTTTTATATGCCCTCTTTCACCTACTACTTCTATACCAGAGATTTTGAAATTTCTTGAACTGCAGGCAGAATGTCCTAGCGTAAGTTCCTAAAACCACCTTGCCTCCATCACTCTTCCTTCTACAGGGAATTTGCTGCGTTTGGTGTTAACCTAAATGTAGGTTAATTGAAGCAAAATACTCGGAGGCTATCCTCCCCTACCCCCTTAGGACGCTGGTTAGACCCGGGTCCGCCTTCTGCGGAGCATGGGCACCGTGCCCCCTCTCCCCTTACCTCTTTGGTGTGTGTGTGGAAGGAGACCGACATGTCCAGGAGGAGCTTCCGCTGCTCCACCCTGCGCACGAAGTCTTGGATGCGCACCTCCAGGTGTCTGGCTGCCTTGTAGATCTCCTCCGGGTCACATTCCCCAGTCTGAGCCAGCTGCTCCGCGGCTTCTAGGAGCTTGTCGGCGTTGGTGTATGTATTCTGCCAGCAACGAGAATGAGGCAGAGTTAACTGGCAGCCAGGGAACAAGCTTCGCGCCTTCTGACAGCCCACCCTGGGACTCCCGAAGGAGCGGGTACGGAGAAGGGGAGGCTCTGAGCTGACAGCTCCCTGATCTGGCACTACTCTTGAGTGCGCGCAGCTGGCACCTCGCCCGCCTCCGAGCAGGCAAGCAGTGGGCTGCTAGGCACACTGGTTAGGAACCTCACCTGTTTCTGGGATGTCTCAGAGGCGCAGCGTCCCTAAAGATAAGAAAGGAGGCCTGTGAGAGCCTCCTTAACCCTTTGGCTCAGATCCCCCACCGTCAAGGAGCCCCTTCCTCTTCCTCACATCTCAGGCTGCTTCTGGCAGAGTTGGAAATAGCACATCCATAAGGGTGCTCTGTGAGCACGCTTCTATATGAGAATCATGTGAAAAAAAAAAAAAAAAAAAAGCCAACTAGGAGGCTTGCTTTGGCCCCGCCCACCAGCTCCCCACCACTCTGGCGTTTATCTTTTGGAAGGAAGGGAAGGAGGCCACAAGTAGAGGGAGGAGCCCTGTGCTGGGCGCTTGCCAGCAGTTTAGCAGGGAATCTGGTGGGTTTACCAGGAGCTGCTGTGTCCCATGCACACAGGTACGCGCTCCTGTGAGCCTCCAACCCTATGGTACACAGGGTGGCGTTCTCAGCAGCATTTCGGAAGGCAGCCCCTTTGCAGTTACTGCTCCTCGTGATGGCAGCCATGTTTCTAACCCAGTACTGCATCGTGTGCCACAAACACAACTTTTCCTTAGCGGCCTACTCTTGACCCGACACATTCTCACATCCAACCCTTGACTCAGGTTCACGTACATTTACCCGCAGCCTCAGGTCAGCACACTGCCCTCTGTCGAGGAGCTGGTGCTCACCTTAGGCTATCTGGATCCAGAAGCAGAAGCTATCTATCATCACAGGCAAGGTGAGCAGAGACCTGAAAGAGGCTATAGCAACGACCAGATGGAACTCACTTTGACTTCCCTGAGTGTTACAGAATGAATTGCGGCCTAGAAACTAACGCCAAGGGTGACCCTCTGAAAGCTACCGACCCAGCTTCTTGGTTACTGAAAGCATGAAGCTGATGATTAGGAATTCCCAGAGTGGTCCCAGGAGAATCCTTGAGAAGTGCCCATTCACAAGTAACTGCCCGAGGCCAGTGTCATCCTAATGTTGGCCAGATAGGATCCAAGGGGAAAACCATCTGTGCCAACCAGGTAATTCATGAAACAACAACAAACGGACTAGACTGGTGTAGAGAAAGGGGCTTTTTCAGGAAGTTAAAGAATGTTAATTCTAGAGAGGAAATGATGGAAGCCACTCAGAGTTACTGGAGAAATGCGGAGATGAGGAAGAGGGGCAGAGGAGGAAAGACCTCTGAGGTTGCAAGCCAGGTTTTTAAAAAAGAAAATAAAAAAGTTGCATATGGCACTGCATATAATATTCAGTTAATAGACCCATATTTCTTGAGAAAGTTTTTTTTTTTTTTCTTAAAGAATTCCTAAAGTTTCTGCCTTGAACCCTAGATAATCTCAGGTGCACCTGAGAAACCCAAAGTTAGAAATCAACATTTTATATAAAAAAAGTTACATCTTGTTGCAAAGTTCACGAAACCAGTGTGGCTTATAAGCATGACTTAAAACCAATAAGCAGGGAGGGGAAGCCTATTTCACATAGGGTGGCCAGCGTATCCTCAGAATGCTAAGGCCATAACTGTTTTTAGCACAGGCAGTTCTGCTTCCCAGAAGTCCCCCAATTCCAGGGAAAATATTTAGGCTGGCTGATCATGCTAATACTCATAGCATTATAATCATCTTGGGGGGGGGGGCAGGAGCATGTAACTTTTACTTTGTCTCAAAGGAGAATAATTCACCATTGAGAGAAATAACATGATAACACATAAATGAGGCAAGTAACATAGCAGATAACTGGGAGCTAAAGTTTCTCGACAAAAGGGAGAAAAGGAATAAAAGTGAGGATAAGAACTACATAAGAGCGATAATAAGCAAGTATTTTTCATCTTGCCAAGAACGCTCCTAAAATCTTATGCATAGATCTCCTTTAATTCTCACAATAACCTATGGATTGATGCATTTTTCATCAGTTGCTGGCTAAGGTAACACATCTTCAAAACGGCAGAACCAGCCCTGCCCACAGCTGCCCGCAGCTGTCTGTGGATAGGTGTGATTCGCCTGACGAGGAGGAGGAGGGTTCAGAAATGAGACACTCTATTTGTGTCCATATTTATCCTGCATGTTTATCCCGCACCACAGCCATTAGCACATGGAAAAGGAACCACATGTGCCCATGTCACCTTCTAATGCCATATGAGTCCCCTTAAGGAGGGTTCTGTGTCATATTCGTCTTTGCTTCCCCCAGGCCAGGACCTATTCACTATCTGGTACACAGTGAGTATCTACCTTGGAGTGGGCAAGAACAGAGCTGTGTGAGCGTGGCAGGCTGGGAGAACTGAGCCAACCTAACTAAAACTGGAGACAGGCAGAAGTCAGGATTGGTGGTGTAGAGAAGGGCTGGGTGACAGGTTTCGTAGAGAAAAAGGGATGATACAGACAGACAGAAAGGCAATGATGGGTATGGTAAAAGCCGGGCTCCCCGCTGTGTCTGTGTTCAACCTTGTCCCCGATTATCACCCAAAAGACCTCTCAAATCCAGACCCAGCAGACCTCCCGACTACTTAAAAGTGTTTTGTGTTTTCTCATACCCTAGGGATAAATGACTTAGCATGGCACGTGGGGCCCTTCTTCATCGGATCCCTGTTTTCCTCTTCTGCATCACATCATCCCCTATGCACCGTCTGAAAACAAGGTTTGCCTTTCCAAAACCTTACCCAATGCCTCTCGTGTGGGCCCTTGCACCCATTTCTTCTGCTTGGGATGCACTTCCTTTGTTTCTCTACACAACCAACTTCCATTCCCTTCTTCAGAACTGCTTCCACATACTTCCTCCAGAAGCCCTTCCATATGCCTATTTTTTCCCCTGAAGGCTGACTTAGGATCCCTTTTCTGGGCTCCTGAAAGTGATCTATGCTGTCCCTTATTCCCATGGTACCTGGCATATTCTCCTCTACTTAGAGCCTGATAATGTCTTCCATCTTTTTTCATTAATATCTAGCACCAAAAAAGTGTCCCATAAATATTAGTGAATAGATTAATAAATTAAATAATATATTCATCCCCACTGATCCCCATAAATTATAAGACTTTACATGCTTAAAACTCATGTTTAGTTGTTCATTTTTACTTAGTTGCTCTGATCACCTGGTCCAATCCCCAAATAAGAATATGTTTGGAGAATATCAATTGAAATATGGCCAAAGAAATATACTGACCCAAAATTGGGGCAAGTACTGACAAGACACTTACGCTCACCTTCTCACCAAATCAACAACTGGTATTGCCCCAGGGCCAGGCTTGACCTCACTCTGACATAACTCTCGGCATGTACTTGTTTCCCAGTCACCTAAGCACTGCCTTGGCCTTGAGCCCTTGCCTGTGTTTCCCACCTGACATGACACATTCCGTTCTGGGGTTCTGATCTTTCAGCCATTGGGTCTTTCATAGAGGGCTTGTGGTAGCCAAAGCCCCTGAGTCATAGACCTGGGCTATACAGGTGGCAACAGGCTCTTTTATTGTTCCCACGCCTCTCTGCACATCCAGGTGAAATACTACTAATAATTTAGCTCTTAAATCTAAGTTCAATTCCCTACTATAGTCTTGCTTCATTTCCTTTTTGATTGCTCCCTAGGGATGTTACAAAACATTCTAGGATAGTTTATCTAAAATTGCAGGAATTCTAGCAACACAGAAATTGTTTCAGATTTCCTAGGATAGAACAGAAGGGCAGGGGGCATGCCTTTTAAAAACAAGGGGGAGAAAGACAGTGAAGAAAACCTATCTGTAACTAAGAGTCAGTTGCCTTGATAATATGAAATTAGCCCTTTGACTTTATGTCCTGGGAGGAGAAACGCTGAAAGTGGCTCTTACTATTCAAAAGTGCTCGTGCATCCCAGAGAGCAGGCTTGATGGAAGGACAGTAGGGGACTCCTCCCCTACCCCCTAATGATTATTTTCAAAGTCCCATGGCTGGAACCAACATGATTTGAAGGAAAAGAAGCAAAGGAATACATACATTGAGGTGAAAGGAGCCATGGAAACATGGGCGCTAGGGAAACAGACTTGTTAACTAAATTATGAACTGCCACCATCAAAATCATATACCTTACACTGGGACAGCACTTTATCGCTGACAACACAATCTTCTGCTCCTTCCTCACCCTTTCTGGGACAGACTTTCAGAAGATCTACCTGCATGTGAAGCTGCCTGAGGCTAGAAAAGAGGCCACGAAAAGGGATTAGATAGTGGTACCCAGGCCTCACAGAGGGCTAGAAGTAGAATCTGTTTCCACCACTCAGCCCTAAAACCCCTTGAGGCTCATGGGATTTTGGTACTGTACTCAGGAGGGTCTTGCTTTGAACAGGTAAACTACATACTCTTTTTTTTCTTGTCTATCAAAATTTAAGGTTTAAAAGGATCGAACTTTTCCCAAGCCACTTAACTGTGTCCCAGAGAACTTAAGATATTTGTAAAACTAAAAATACTCAGCAGTGGTCAAGACAAGTTTCACAATGTCTAGCATAAACAAAGGAAAAAGGTCTGCAGCCATACAAAAAGGTGGAAAGCAACTTGTGTGAAGAGAATATATATACACATATGTATATATGACAGTAGACAATCAATAGTCCACTGTAACTATATTTCACATATTCAAAATATAGAAAACAACAAATAGAATCCTTTAAGACATTTTTACTCTTAGTGATAACAAATGCGCTATATTAGACCACTGCAGAAGACCACTGAGCTTGAAAATGTAAACAGTAGGAACTAGTCAGAAGCTGGGGAGATGGGCACAGCACAAGCATGGGGACCTGAGTTCAGATCCCTAAAACCC